AAACATTCATAATAAGTCTGAAACATACAAAGGCAAATACCGAGTGTGAAGTCAAATTAGACAGTTAAACAAGCAAATAACATTACACCGGCGAGGGTCAAAGGTATACCATAAATAACGAGGGTAAAAATGTCAAAATAAATGTCAATACAATCAAATAAGGGTGATCGAGAGGGATTCTCAGATCAATTTTCCGTTACAACTGTCAGTATCGACCGTTTGAAACCAGCTTACGAAACCTTTTTGTGGTAATAAAGCCTTTTATTTATATTCCAGGTGCAGCGAGCACTGGACGGAATGTCAAAAGGAACTGATGACCGCGATCGACGTCTAATTCGATTTATTGTATTTTATTTATTTAATTGCCACGACACCCTAGAATAAGTTCAGACAACCAGGGGCCACTTCACGCAGTGAGCCCATCGGAAGAGTTTCACCAGTGGAGAAACCACTGTGTTTTTACTTCCGGCTGGTATCGTCTTAGGGTCCTTATGAACCCACTAGGGGGGAGTGATCTGTAGCGTCATACACTTCCCCAAAATCAATAGCCTAGGGTTTGACGACTTTCGACATTGATGCTGACCTTGATAGTTTAACTGGACTCGCTAAGCTGAAGGCACCCGGTCAAGCATCCTCGCCATTTGGCACGCTGTCTTGTTGCGTTGCACTGCTCGTATTCGACTCTCTAGCCATTTAGTTGGAACGCATCGGCATTTTGGCACAACCATCCAAATACACTATTCCATCCGACTACGCTGTCGTGTTCTTCCCTGGTCTCGTATTCGTGGGTATATAACAAGTCCGAATAATTAGTGATTGGTCTTTGCGTCTGTCAAGTTCGCACCAGGACAAATCCTAAAACATTATTTGGGTTCCAGAACAAAATATGCAAACAGACAGAAGGAGTTTTCATGGGACCACCAATATCTCCTATTGTTGCTGACATATTTATGGATAGTTGGGATCGGATGGCTGGAGAAAAATTTAATCCAGGTTCAAAAATATGGTTTCGATATGTAGACAACACGATTACAGTTTTGAAACCGGAACACATACATAATTCCTTCCCACATATAGATTCAGTAGACAATGCAACCTAATTAGCATATGAATTAGACAATAGTGAAGGGGAACTGGCGGTGTCGGATTGCGGAATAAAGTGGAAACAAGATGGGAGTCCAGACACTAGTATCTACGGAAGAAATTCACATTCAAACCGTTACGTCAACATCGAATCGTCTCAAACCATGACAGTTAAAGTTGGCTTGGTTAAGTGTCGAAGTAGCAGGGCCAAAAAGCGTATTAGTAAAGCAGAAGATCAAAAAAGAGACCGGATAAAGATAAAAGACGCCTTAAAAATGAGTAATTACCCTCCAAAATTGATTGATAAGCTCCTTAGGAATCGCAGGAAAAATATCAGTAACAGTTATTAATACTAGTAATAATAGTGTTGATAATGATCTTAGCAATGAAGAGAGAATTCCAAACCTCTACAGTTTGACCATACAGTGAAGGAACCTCAGATACACTACGTAGACTTCTCAGTAGGGCTGGGATGGGAGCGGCATTTTAACCTACAAACTTACTCCGAAATAAGCTTATTACGTTGAAAGATCCTATCGCTCCAATTAAGCAGAGTAACTTAGTTTACCAAATCCCCTACAACGATTGTGAGGTCAACGTAGTCGACCAGGGTCAATTAGGCTACTCGAACACAACAACCTAGCTAGGTCAAAACTGGTAGATCCTGGTAAGGTAAGGACTTCAGAAAAAAGGCTCAGTCATAGCTATTCATGCGACTACATGCAACCACACAATAGGATAGGACACGGTGAAATTCCTTAAAGCTAACATAACAGGGTGGAGGGAGAGGTTGATAACTGAATCTTGTTTATCGAATCAACACATAATACATGCAACAGGAATGACTCGGCATCTGTTTCGGATATATATACTACCCATGTCACAAGGAGGTGAGGAAATTAGGACTACATAAAGGATATCTCAAAATTGTGTAGTTATCTTGATGTGACTACGGAAAATAAATTATGTCCGAAACGTGATCCGGCAAACAATAGTGTTACAGTGTGTGATGAACCAAGCGAAAAATAAAAATGTGACCCACTTCAAGCAGTTTTATATTCAGGCTGCCAGGTGTTTGATTTAGGCCTAAGTAACCGCTCGCAGAAGAAGTAGCTGCATTATGTCATGTGAAGGACCGAATACGAGGTCGTGTGCAGCATTACATGGCCGGCGCAGGTCCATCACTTCGAAAGGTGAAGGACAATCTCCCAGAACACTCCAAGCTATACTGATCTCAAGATTATTATCTTCTGGACCTCCTCGTGCTAACAGTTTGGAAAACGCTTCGCTAATCTAACCAACGATAGGATTCCAAGAGCTACCAGAACTGATGTTCACCACCTAAGCAGGGGATGGAAGTCCACTTGAATCACGATGCAGAAGTAGCCCCAAAACGTAATACATTGACAGGTCCTTACAGAAATGCAAGAAGAAAGAAATACAGATAGGATAACAATTCGTCCCCGTGGAGTGCTGAAATCGATTTTATTGTACAGGTGTGGCTGTCTCGAGATGCCGCAGATAGGGGAATTTCCATGCTGAACACGACTTTATACCGAAGGGATGGAAGGCTGGGTAGTGGTAGAGTGGGTATCAAAACCAACACTCACATAAAACGGGATTTATCTAGACAGTTAGATGTGTTTGAGCCGTATATTTCCAACAATCTGGCCGCGCATTTACTGGTCCAGTCATTTTTCTTACAACCAGAGGAAGGGCTGAGAAATAAAGCATTTCTGACACCCAGGGGGTAGAAACTGATCTCGGCTAGAAAATATATTGTTTTTATACAAGTGAGGATGGTTTCAATTTGTGTATGGCTATCACGTCCGTAAATCCTGTTAATCGCCTCTGAATGTCTCTGTGGAAAACTTTTAAAGCTGTTCGGAAGTTAATTTTGTAGTTGTTTTCCATGTGCCGAACTACAGATGGGTGGGGTTTTCTGCCATATTCGCTTGTCAAAGTTCCGCGGTGCAACTGCTCTTGGTGGAGTTTAGGTCCTTCCTCCAATCTTCAAGGGAGAAGGCTGAAGAAACGCAAGCCATTACAGACTGGTAGCATTGTGGCATGAACTTTGCAAGGCACTGGAAAGCCCAATTGTAGACATTATTTGGGACTCTCGGAACAGGAACCCTTTCATCCATTTCACTCAACAAGATTTCAGAGCCGGGCAGTTATGTGACACAAAGTTGGTGACCACTTTGATTGTCTGGATTACCAGATAGGATGACAAATAAGCAGCCTACAACACATTTCTCAACCCAGCCTGGTCTATCGACGGCGTTCCACAACGGCTGGGAACGATTAGGCTACTCTCCATTGGTTACCGGAGAAAAAGTGATAAACTTGTGGGAGCGTTAAAGATTAAAATTCTAGTGAACCAACCGAATGGGACAACATTCTCTGTCCAAGACGGCTTGGTGAGAGCCCTTGAGATATATCTCACGAGGAAACTTAAGTGGTGGTCAGATATCACTTATTTGCTCACAAGGCATGCAAATTTGAGCACCCTGAAATAAAAGGGAGTCTTAGTTTTCTTGCATGACTCGTTCTAACGAATGAAGGAAAAACATGTGTGACCACTAAAACCATCAAATAAAAATACATCTGCGCTAATTGAGGAGTGCAAAATATAAGTTTAGTGCCGGTATCACTCGGAGTAATTTTCCTCTGAAACTGTATGCTTGAACATAAAATTTGTTTATCTAG